CACATGCAGACACAGACACGTACACACAAATATGCACAGACAAATGCACACACTGAAACACCTGCAGACACAGACATGCCCACACATGACCATGGGTGCACAAAGACATGGACAAACACAGTCGTGAACACACACACACACAAGCACAGAAACAATGCACAAACACACACATAGACACAGAGACATGAACACATACACACACAGAAGCACGTGAAGACAGACACAAAAATGCACACATACGCTCATACACACATGCACACAGCCACACTGACACCAGGAACNCCACAGCTGAGCCACGTCATGCTCATAACTGTCCAGGACACAGAGGTGGCTCCTTGGGCACTAACCTACAGTCCCTGCCCCTATGTCCTGTGCTGCTTCTGCTGCTTCTCTCTGTCACCCCAGAGCTCTCTGCACATGGCCTCATGTCGTCCCCACCCTGCTCCTCCTTGATCCCTGCTCCGTCCCCACCCAGTGGAGCCCAGGCCTGCACCTGGCCATCCAGACTCCTCCAGATGGGAGCCCAGGAGCTCAGACCCCTTGTGGGGACAGCTNCCCACCCTGCCCCCCTCAGACCTCCCTTCTGCATGGCCCCAGGCCTGCCTCACCTGCTTGCCCACCTTGGGACAACCTCAGGGAGGCCCTGGGCTCTGTGCCGAATGCCCACAGGAAGGCAGAGCCCAGGCACACAGTTCCTGCAGCTGCTTCCAGACAACACCTAAAAGAAGGCCACATGGGCACAGGCAGAACACACACGTGCACACATGGGCACACGAGATCATGGGCACACACAAGAACATGCACACGGACATGCAATGCATGAACACAAACACGGTTACACTCAGACATGAAGAATATGCACATGAACAGACACATAAGCACCCATGTGCACACATGCAGACATGAACACACACACACAAAATGCACAGAAACACATACACCCAAACATGCACTGACGTGGGCACACAGAAATGCAATGCCCAAATACACACAAGCAGGACACATGCAGACACAGACACGTACACACAAATATGCACAGACAAATGCACACACTGAAACAC